AAAAACCCCAAAAACTTTTCCCAGCACATGATCCCATCAGCTCCCTGACCGCCTGGGTCATTCACGCCTGTGAATCGTTTCCTCAAGTAACAGATTAGTCACGTACATTTGCAATGGCAGCGATTCTGCCAAATAGTTGAGCGGGGCAGGAGAACAGCAGCACGACAAAAACAGGCAGAGGAGGGGAGAGGAGAAATAAAATGTTTCTTCCTCTTCTCCCGTGCCCCTTTGGTTTTCAACAGCGTTTGCAAACTCAAGCTGCTAAACAGCTGCATCACGTGGTGTGAAATCCCGGCGTCATCTGGCTAGAGACTTGGGCACCTCTCTCTTTCCTTTTTCACCCCCGGGCTGGCAGAAGCATTGCCCAGCAGCCAGAACACTGACAGCTTCTCTGAGGCTGGGACCAAAAGCYTCCCATAGTAGGAACAATGTTTGGCAACCGAGAAAACCTCTCACTTGAGCTCCCCTCTTCTGAGTGAGTGACAAATGCCAGACCTTGGCAGGGCTGACACGGGCTCGGGGCTGCAAAGTGTCCCGCTTGGAGGCAAGTCGCTCCGAGAGGAAAACAAACAGGCTAAAGGTCCCCAAAAACCCAGCTCCTGCTTAGTACGTGGCTTACTGCAGTTACTTCCTGCTTCCAATAGCAGGCAKGAAAAATCACCGTTGTCATTGGAGCAGCAGCGCGTGGAGCCTGCGAGCAGGTCAGACTGCTCCTCTCGTGTCACACTGCCCCTGTCCCGACATGCATCCAGCCACAAATGCCCCCGGTAGGCAACARAGAGGGAGATTCAAAGCGAGAGCACCTGAGTGATCCTGTAACAGGGGGAAAAGAAAATACAGGTTGTTTCAGGTCATCTGATTTGTGCATACATTCCCAGATGCTGGTGTGTCCCTTGTAATTCGGGAAATGCTAAATGGGCAGCATGGCCTGGAGAAACTGTAAGGAGGGGAAGAGCAGAGGAGTGCCTGGGGAACGCTGATGAGCTGCTTTTCACGGCAAGCGTTACTACTGCAGTGAGAGATAGCGACACATGTAGGTGGTCCCTGTCCTGGTAATAAATAACAGCTACAAAACTCTTATTAAACTCTGTGAAATATGTTGGTTCTGCCAGTCCAYCCATCACGAATCTGTCTGGCACTGCAGTACTCACTTCAGCTGTCCTGAAGAAAGAAAACACAGCAACCTGGTCACAGCATCCCACATCCCAACCAAAGGGAGTCACAATTGCAAAGCATGCATCCTTGTTGTCATAAAAATGATGCTCCCCTCTTGTATCCTCTGCCTTAGGG